GTGATAGGTTACGTAATATTGTAGGAGTACAGAGTACGTACCTGACAGGTGATAGGTTACGTATTATTGTAGGAGTACAGAGTACGTACCTGACAGGTAATAGGTTACGTATTATTGTAAGAGTACAGAGTACGTACCCGAACCAGGTTAATATAACTTATTCCTATCGCTATTGGTGATTTAATTGGTTAGAGTTGTAACTGGATCCGTGGACTCGATGGCATTATTTAACTATTTGAAAGACACCAGACTCGGATTTCTTTTAACTCACCTTGCCCTCTTTGACGTTATTTATATACAATCACATATTCCATATAATTTATTCATTATTTCTCTGATTATTTTAGCCCCCCTTTTTATTTTAATTATTTACACATATCATAAGAATGCTTTTAAAAATATTCTTTTTTATCTGATATTATCTTCGCTACTCACATGTTTGTTTAACAAACAATACATAAATCCCCATGCCCCTAAATGACCACAGTTGTCGATGGGCTGTTAAACACAAACAAACAAAATTGTAACGGGAAAACATGCACTGTGGTCGGCCTATGGACAGTGTGTTCCCGGTATGTTCCACTCTCGATATTTATGGGTTACACTCACTTTCGCTCTGTACACCCCTGGAATATGTCAGTATAATGGAGAATGCGCACAGTGCAGCGTATAGTTTAATTTGATGTTGTGTGTATATGTCGAACTTTATAATTAAGCTATGACACTACAACGTCGGGTAGCCCTTAGGTAAACATGTGTTCAGTTACAAACACTACGGATTCACTTGTAAGGGGTGGGCTGTTCAAATTACATCCAGTGTCGTCACGTGATTTTGTCTTAAACATGAACTTTTATCTTGTTTTCATAACCCTCTAATAAACCTGTTTATATTGATCGTGTTCACTTTTTAAATGAAACAAAGTTTAAACTATATTTCACAATTTAATCCATAATCCACTGAAATCAACGATTACAGTAACAGGATATACATTTCTGTCTAATGATAGTGTGGGATAGAGTGATAGAGTGAACAATACGACAGGGTGAACAATACGACAGAGTGAACAAAGAGACATAGTGGACAATGAGACAGAGTGAATAATGAGACAGAGTGAACAAAGAGATAGAGTGAACAAAGAGACAAAGTGAACAAAAGATAGAGTTAACAATGAGATAAAGTGAACAATGAGACAGAGTGAATAATGAGATAGAGTGAACAAAGAGACAAAGAGAACACAAGATAGAGTTAACAATGAGATAAAGTGAACAATGAGACAGAGTGAACAATGAGACAGAGTGAACAAAGATACAGAGTGAACAATGAGACAGAGTGAACAAAGAGACAGAGTGAACAATGAGACAGAGTGAACAATGAGACAGAGTGAACAAAAGATAGAGTTAACAATGAGATAAAGTGAACAATGAGACAGAGTGAACAAAGAGACAGAGTGAACAATGAGACAGAGTGAACAAAGAGACAGAGTGAACAAAGAGACGGATTGAACAAAGAGACAGTGAACAATGAGACAGAGTGAACAATGAGATAAAGTGAACAAAGAGACAGTGAACAATGTGACAGAGTGAACAATGAGACAGAGTGAACAATGTTACAGAGTGAACAAAGAGACAGAGTGAACAATGAGACAGAGTGAACAATGTGACAGAGTGAACAAAGAGACAGAGTGAACAATGAGACAAAGTGAACAAAGAGACAGAGTGAACAATGAGACAGAGTAAACAAAGAGACAGAGTGAACAATGAGACAGAGTGAACAATGTTACAGAGTGAACAAAAAGACAGAGTGAACAATGAGACAGAGTGAACAATGTTACAAAGTGAACAAAGAGACAGAGTGAACAATGAGATAGAGTGAACAATGAGATAGAGAGAACAATGAGACAGAGTGAACAATGAGACAGTGTTAACAAAGAGACAGAGTGAACAATGAGATAGAGTGAACAATGAGACAGAGTGAACAAACAGACAGTGAACAATGAGACAGAGTGAACAATGAGACAGAGTGAACAATGAGACACAGTGAACAAAGAGACAGTGAACAATGAGACAGAGGGAACAATGAGACAGAGTGAACAAAGAGACAGAGTGAACAATGAGACAGAGTGAACAAAGAGACAGTGAACAATGTGACATAGTGAACAAAGAGACAGGGTGAACAAAGACACACAGTGAACAATGAGACAGAGGGAACAATGAGACAGAGTGAACAAAGAGACAGAGTGAACAATGAGATAGAGTGAACAATGAGACAGAGTGAACAATGAGACAGAGTGAACAATGTTACAGAGTGAACAAAGAGACAGTGAACAATGATACAGAGGGAACAATGAGACAGAGTGAACAAAGCGACAGAGTGAACAATGAGAAAGAGTGAACAATGAGACAGAGTGAACAATGAGACAGAGTGAACAAAGAGACAGAGTGAACAATGAGACAGAGTGAACAATGAGACAGAGTGAACAATGAGACAGAGTGAACAATGAGACAGAGTGAACAATGAGACAGAGTGAACAATGAGACAGAGTGAACAATGAGACAGAGTGAACAATGAGACAGAGTGAACAATGAGACAGAGTGAACAATGAGACAGAGTGAACAATGAGACAGAGTGAACAATGAGACAGAGTGAACAATGAGACAGAGTGAACAATGAGACAGAGTGAACAATGAGACAGAGTGAACAATGAGACAGAGTGAACAATGAGACAGAGTGAACAATGAGACAGAGTGAACAATGAGACAGAGTGAACAATGAGACAGAGTGAACAATGAGACAGAGTGAACAATGAGACAGAGTGAACAATGAGACAGAGTGAACAATGAGACAGAGTGGACAATGTGACAGAGTGAACAATGAGATAGAGTGAACAATGAGATAGAGTGAACAATGAGATAGAGTGAACAATGAGACAGAGTGAACAAAGAGACAGTGTGAACAATGAGACAGAGAAAACAATTAGACAGAGTGAACAATGAGACAGAGTGAACAAAGAGACAGAGTGAACAATGAGATAGAGTAAACAATGAGACAGAGTAAACAATGAGACAGGGTGAACAATGAGACAGAGTGAACACTGTCACAGAGTGAACAATGAGACAGAGTGAACAAAGAGACAGAGTGAACAATGAAACAGAGAAAACAATTAGACAGAGTGAACAATGAGACAGAGTGAACAAAGAGACAGAGTGAACAATGAGATAGAGTAAACAATGAGATAGAGTAAACAATGAGACAGGGTGAACAATGAGACAGAGTGAACACTGTCACAGAGTGAACAATGAGACAGAGTGAACAAAGAGACAGAGTGAACAATGAAACAGAGAAAACAATTAGACAGAGTGAACAATGAGACAGAGTGAACAAAGAGACAGAGTGAACAATGAGATAGAGTAAACAATGAGATAGAGTAAACAATGAGACAGGGTGAACAATGAGACAGAGTGAACACTGTCACAGAGTGAACAATGAGACAGAGTGAACAAAGAGACAGAGTGAACAATCAAATAGAGAAAACAATTAGACAGAGTGAACAATGAGGCAGAATGAACAATGAGACAGAGTGAACAATGAGACAGAGTGAATAATGAGACAGAGTGAACAATGAGACAGTGTTAACAAAGAGATAAAGTGAATAATGAGACAGAGCGAATAATGAGATAGAGTGAACAATGAGACAGAGTGAACAATGAGACAGTGTTAACAAAGAGACAGAGTGAACAATGAAACAGAGTGAACAATGAGACAGAGTGAACAATGAGACAGAGTGAACAAAGAGACAGAATGAACAATGATACAGAGTGAACAATGAGACAGTGTAAACACTGAGACAGAGTGAATAATGTGACAGACTTAGACAGAGTGAACAATGAGATGGAGTGAGACAGAGTGAACAATGAGACAGGGTGAACAATGAGACAGAGAGAACAAAGAGACAGAGTGAACAATGAGACAGAGTGAACAAAGTGACAGAGTGAACAATGAGACAGAGTGAACAAAGAGACAGAGTGAACAATGAGACAGAGTGAACAATGAGACAGGGTGAACAATGAGACAGAGAGAACAAAGAGACAGAGTAAACAATGTGACAGAGTGAACAATGAGACAGGGTGAACAATGAGACAGTGTGAACAATGAGACAGAGTGAACTATGAGATAGCAACTGACGTAGTGTTCGCATTAATATTAACATTAACGACTAAATGTCACCATATACAGACAGCTGTGGATGTTGTTTTTCACGTCGCCACATGTATATATGTATTATTGTTATTTAGATAATACGGATACGACTTTGGTGATGGTTTAGCCAAAGAGTTTGTTTAAACATGAAAATATTCACAAGATGGTTTTATAGTTTAGTTCTCCTTGATGTTGTAACATCCATGAACATCATGAAACTGTAACAACATCCGGATGCTGCTTACATGCGAGCCTTGCCCAGGGAATATTAGATTTAAAAACAGACAACCGGGTGTTCCACATAAACAAACTGGTCCCTTTGTAAACAAAATCACATGTTCACGAACACACGTGGCAACAACCGCGTCCTGAAACGAACATCGATTCATGATACCTTTCTGGTGACAATTTTGCCAAAAATAGAGGTCTTAAATGAACAGCTGTATCATTGTCGGTGAGCTTTAAAATATTGACATAGATATAACTCATTTCTGGGCAGTCCTTTATGATAGTATCGGTTGTCACCATTATTATTTTTCTGTTATTTCTTTGTATGTAAAATATATGAACTAAGTAAGGGTTCAAGTCGGGATTTCGACATAAAATGAATGATGTGTGTTTGTGTGTATGCTGTCTGTCTGTATTCATGTGTATAAAGTACATGTATGAACTTTGAATATCAAACGTTTAAACACTAGGAAGACAATTCTTAAGCATATGAAAAGCATAATTTTCGATAAAATGCCTCTTTCTTATGACAGAAAGTGAACAGGAGAGGAATGATTGCTTTATAAAAACTTACTCGTAAGCGTTCATCACTTTCTCCGTCAAATAGTCGTGGCATTTGTGGTTCTCAAACGACAGGTAGAACTTGTAGTCCCTCCTGGTCATTTCGACGCATTCTCTGTGTTTGGACGCTGGACAAGACAGTGGACCACAGTGCCCGTAAATGTCCACTTGCACGTGTTTACCCAGTTCCCTTGCATACTCCATACGTCCACTCTTTACAATATTGCAGTTAGAAACCATCCAAGCGACCTTTTTGGTCCGGCCCTCGGCGAAATTGCGACCTGGGGTCGGGATATCAGGAGGCGTCCAACAATTCCGTCCAATTTTGAAATAGGGATCATAAATTGTCGAGTCTACTCGATACGTGTTTGTCCAATTGAAAAAGTTTTTATAGTTATTCATTGGCCACGATCTATCTGGACTCTCATTGATGTTTAAAATGGCAATTTGTTTAGAAGATGATTTTTGAAAAGGTGGTGATAACGGTAGATATCCAGAATTAGCAAACACAACAGCATCAGCCGTGGCCTCCGCACTTCTCTCGTGGGTTAAACTACAGCGGTTCACCTTGCAGTGCTTGAAGAATTCTAATCCCGTGGGAACGTTTGTCCATTTTTCCATGTGCCAAATATACACAACTTTGATATCCGATTTACTGGAGTAAGTTCTCGGCACATATTCTAATTGTTCGTAAACTCGATCTGACGAAGCATTCGTATGGAGGAAATCGTCCGGAAGTAGGCGCGAAATACGTTGTTTCTCCGATTCGCTAATGTTAACTTCCGGCGGAAAGTATCTGATGGGATGTAGCCGGTTTTTGGTTCTATCAAAACCAACATTTAAGTTTGTCCTTGTCGGCGATTTCGAGATGTCTAAACAATAACTTGAATTAAATATTTTTGAATGAAAATCCTCCGATACATAATTATAATCTGACATTATTTTCTTCGTTATAATGACATTGCGAGAGTTGTGTTTGTGTTCCATCTGCCTCACAAAGTAATGCGGTCTCAGATTGATCATTCCTGTTACACAGACTACCATAACGACAGTGAGAATAAATACCTTTTCCTGCCATTTTGTGTTTCGTGTCCAGAACACTCTTCTCAGTAGTCCCATAGTTTGATAGAAAGTACACCTGTTCTGCACAGCCAACATAGAATGACTGTTACACGACACCCGACGCCCTACATGTATACAGTACTTGCTATACGTTACGCCTCGCTTAATAAGACTGGAAACTAATGTCTGTTTACACGCGGTAGGACCTCTGAGGACGGTATATACGAAGTGTATACCCGGCTAACCCTGGGGGCTATGTATATATACATATGCAAAGTTCCCACCTGAAAAACGTGCAATGAAGGAAAATGCAATAAGCTATACTACCTTCCGTCGTAACGTGGCACGCACATCGAAATGTCGGTAAGTCGGAAACATAACGAAGTATTAAAAAAGCAGATGAATCAAACGAACGCCAGTCTTTTGTTTAAATCTTTTCTTGTTGAAAAATAAACATATAATTCATATCGGCTTAACAAATTATATATAGGCTATACTGATTAAGGAAGGTAAATATTGAACTTTTAGCTTAAACAAATACTCCTGTGTATTTCTACTGGCCAGACTGAGTGGACAAAATACAATCCTTGAAAGGAAATACATTGTTTTCAACAGCTGCTTGAAGCCCTAGTCCGGACATAAGTTGGTAGAGTTATATCTATGGATACTTTCGTTAGCGAGGAAACAATAGGTTGTGTATTAATAGAATCCATCCCTGATGTGAGGTATGGGTAAGGTTATTCAAACCCAAGGGATGAAATATTGAGCAGGAGACCCACGGCATTGCCGAGAGTTTTCCAGCACCGCCGGAAATGCGGATACCTCAGTCTAGTATGCAAAAGATTAGGATATGTACAACGGATTCTCGTCAACATGGACACTTGAGTGTGTGTGTACCGTAAAGAAAACCTTGATAGTCCGTACACTATGAGATGTGTAATTACAATCGTGAATCATGTTAGCCCGGATATTCTAGACTTCGTGTATCTGTCGAAACCATCAACTCTCCGAACACTTAAGGGTTTGATAAACTTTGTTAGTCCGGACACTTTAGGATGTATGTGTGATGGAACCTGGTTAGTCCGGACATTTAAGGTTGAAACTTTGATGGAACCTTGTTAGTCCGAACACTTTAAGATGTGTGTTTGATGGAACCTTGTTAGTCCGGAAACTTTTAATTATTGAAGCATAATAACTAGACTGTCTGGCACTATTGAACGTTTGTTCAGTAGAACCTTGTTAGTCTGGACACTTTGAAATGTATGTTTGATTGAACCTTGTTAGTCCGGACACTTTATGATGTGTGTATAATGGAACCTTGTTAGTCCAGACACTTGAGGGTGTGTGTTTAATGGAACATTGTTTGTCCGAACACTTTATGATGTATGTTTGATGGAACCTTGTTAGTCCGGACACTCTATGATGTATGTTTGATGGAACCTCGTTAGTCCGGACACTTTAGGATGAGTGTTTGATGGAACCTTGTTAGTCCGAACACTTTCGGATGTATGTTTGATGGAACCTTGTTAGTCCGGACACTTTATGATGTATGTTTGATGGAACCTTGATAGTCCGGACACTTTCGGATGTATGTTTGATGGAACCTTGTTAGTCCGGACACTTTATGATGTATGTTTGATGGAACCTTGTTAGTCCGGACACTTTAGGATGAGTGTTTGATGGAACCTTGTTAGTCCGTACACTTTAGGATGTATTTTGGTTTACATATCGGAAGACTCGCTAGCAGGAGCAAAGCGTATTGGAGAAAGGGAGGAGGGGAGGTAACGTGCGTGTGTGTGTGTGCTTGTGTGTGTGTGTGTGTGTGTGTGGGGGGGGGGGTAGTTTGGTTTTGGTTTAATTTTGTTTAACGTCCTATTAACAACTAAGGTCATTTAAGGACGTGCCTCCATGTGATTCAGTGTATGCGTGCTTGCGTGTGTGTATACATGAGACAGTGTATGTTGGTTTGCTTGCCTCCTTGTGATAGCGCGGATCTGATGCCGACTTTATAGTGCTATCTCACTGAAATACAATGCCGAAGGCCCCCGGCACAGCAATCCTCCCGGTCACATTATACTGACAACGGGTGAAGCAGTTGCTGCCATTCCTTATATGCTGAACGTTTAGCAGGGAATAACAACTACCATTTTTAAGGACTTTGGTATGTCCCGGCCTGGGGACAGAGCCCATTGCCTTCCTCACCTGGGCGAACGCTCAACATTAAGGCCAAAAGTGAGGTGTTTCCAAGCAAGGCACTAGGAAATAAAAGGTAGTTCGAAGTAGAAAGAAAGATAAAGATCCAAAATATTGCAATGGGTGGAGCAGATTTACTGTGGTAGCTTTTGTGTCCCCAAATAGAGGAAGGACACCAACGCAAATCGCCAATTCTGCAGGGGGTTCCCCCATTAGCCGCCTCCTACGATACACTTTTCCCGACCCCCCCCCCCCCCTGCAGGGGTGGTGTGTGTGGGTAGAATAATGAGGTCGATGTGGGGGTATGAGGGTCATATCTATCATTTAAGCAGTCTAACACATTTTTCTAGATTATAATATTATTTTTCCAGTTACTAGAATCAGTTGAAGTGCATTAAATACATTTAAATACATGACATGGAATTTGTAAATTTCTATAAAGCAAACTTGCCGATTTTCAAGGAGTGATCTTTTTCATAGTTTTTATATTCAATAACGTACGTGATAAGTTCAGAGGAAGTAATTCAGAATTTCAACAGTGCCTGAACTAAGTTAATTTGTTCTTTGCATAACTTAATAGTTTGTTTAACATCGTTTACAAGAAGAGCTGTTGAGTGATTTCATTATCTTTAGAACAAATATTTAATTCCTCTGGGTAGAACATTTCTTTCTTTCAATATACGTGTGTGTTACCGTGACCCAGAGCTATCCCCGTAACGCAGTGAAATCTACCTAATCTTCCAATACACACAATATTCCAATATACAACTGTATGGATCCGCGAACAATTGCCCAAATGTATTTAATAAGAATATTGTCAGCCAGCATTACACTTTATATCTATAGATTGCGGAAGTATGAAATAAAAATATTTCAAATGAAATGAAAACATCTTATAATAAAAAAAACTTGGAATGAACTAGGAAAAATGAAATAGATATAGCTTGAAATAAAGAAAAGACATTTTTGAATGAAATACATGTAAATGTCTTTAAATGAAATAAATGTTCAAGTGTGATAGAGATATCTCCCACATGGAAAGGATTATATGAAATATTTTTATTGTTTATAAGACCCCTACGTGCAATAAAATCCGGGCCAACAAGAGTGATTACTATAAGTTGAAATCCCTCTGTTGTTAAAGCTATCCAGTTATTAAGTGTCCAAAATTGTATACGATTAACTCATATTACCAGATATGTATATAATCAGGGACAGTATATACTATACGTCCCTGATATAATCTAAAAATAAACAACGCCAAGTGGCACCTGTGTTACAGAGTCTCGCTTGGAAGGCCATCTACAACTGCTAGGTAACTTACATGTACCCGCTCATTATCTCCGCAAAACAGCGCATACAACTGTTTAATCATACTGTTGCATATTAACGATTCAATTCAATTTTATTACCGAATGCACATTGCTTATAGTATAGAAGTATACATATTAAAAAATACTAAAATTATACCTATAAGCAACACGTCCGTTGGCCGCAGCCGTCGACTGTAAAGGAGAGGGGGGACCTAGCCTATCGCTAGATATATGGGAAATTCCACTGTATCTATAAAGATTAAAAGACAAATGAAGAAGTAGCTAAGAATGAGCCCGTTACAGTTCCGTAGGACACGGGTTTTCAGTAGAAGCTATATATAGAATGTGAGTATCGTACCATCTCATGATTATGAAGATTTTTTTTAAACGGTGGTGCTTAAATGAGTTGAACGTGATCAAAGCACGCGCCAAGTACGTTATAACATGATCATTTTTAAATTTTTATCAATAGATGAATTATTTCCTCTTGACTTCATGGTCCTTATCCTTATATAATTATCTCCCCTTTCCTCACAGGTACTCAGTTTATCAATTGTTATGAAAATCAGGGGATGTAACTGTAGGTAACAAGTAAGGAACACTAAATGATAATTATCTAGTGTTTTGTCGCAAGCAGGGCGACATGAATCCTTAAGGACTTCCCACCCTTCGTAATACACATGTTTTTCTTGTCGTATTTTGGTGTCGTCATTTCCGTATTGCATATCGGGCATTCCATTACCGTAGTGTAAATTATAGTAACACCGGGTAAACAATTTTACACGTGTGTGACGATGAACACCCGATATCAAGACTTCACTTGGAAATGTGTAATCACACGTACTTCAGAAATAAAGCTGATGATACAAAGACATTAATTACCTCACAGGAAGACACTGACATACATGTAACATCAGACGACTTTAAGAAGGTCGTATATGAGGCGCATGGAATGCAGACTGATGTGTTTTGTTTACCGACCTCACCTGTACAAGCTCGGAGTCGCAATGAGTTTTGTTGTCGAGCTAGTTACGCTCTGTCAAATAAATCATTTCACAAATAGTGGTTTGTAAAATATCAAAATCCCTATAAAACGAAGTGCATGTGCGTGCACGTGATAACGGCATACCATGCGATAGCCTATGATTACATATGTACCTGATTTATATACCATGCATAAGCGGCCCATGGAATGATGTCCAACGTGTACATGATTGAGAGAAATATTATTTCGTAAAAGAACTGTAAATTGACAATTTGATATCGTAATTTAATTTATTTCCGTCGTTTTTGGTATAGTAAAGAAAATAGCTATCATTGTATAAATTATATCCCTCTGCAAAAGTTCCGATTTTTTTCAAGGTAGACAACTCTCATCGCAATCAAAGTTATTGTAAAATGTAAAATGTTTGGTTCAAATCTTCACTCTTTTTGTATGAAACTATGTGGTTTTTTTCGGTATTTTTCATAAAAAAAACCAGTTTATCAGAATCCTTAGATTTTCATAAAATCATCTCTACATAGTGACATAACCATTATGTGAAACTTTCATTGAATTCTGCTGGTTAATTGCGAAAGGGTGGAGCCTCCTTAATACAGATGAAATGAAGAAAGATTTTGAGATGTTCCCTGAATTTACTACTCTCAGTGTCCGTCTCTGACTCCGTGCTAGGTCTGCCTCAAAATGAGAAATGTCTATTAATACAA